AGTCCGTAACGTAGAGGTTTTTCAGAATTTATAGAGCTTCAGCAGCACCTGGGGTCATGACGTTATTCATAGAATCATAGTATCATCAAATGGTTTGGGTTGGAAGGGACATTTGAAGGTCATCTAGCCCAACCCCCCTGCAGTGAGCAGGGACATCTTCAACTCCCATCAGGTTGCTCACAGCCCCATCCAACCTGACCGGGAATGTTCCCAGGGATGGGGCATCCACCACCTCTCTGGGCAACCTGTCCCAGTGCCTCACCACCCTCATCGTAAACAATTTCAGCCCATGGGCTGTTCTGTGAGCACAGAGGACCCCTCCGTGGGTAAGGTTTGCTGGGCTGGGACCCCAGAGGCTCCCTCAGAGCAGGGGGGCTCCAGCCCTCGCAGCATTTTAGTAGCCCTCCTCTGGCCCCGCTCCAACAGGTCCATGTCCTCCTGGTGCTGAGGGCTCCCGAGCTGGACGCAGGGCTCCAGGGGAGGTCTCCCCAGGGCAGAGCAGAGGGGCAGAATCCCCTCCCTCGATGCTGGCCACGCTTCTCCTGTTGCAGCCCAGGGTCGGGTTGGCTTCTGGGCCGCCAGCGCCCATTGCCGGCTCATGTCCAGCTTTTCATCCACCAGCACCCCCAAGTCCCTCTGGGCAGGGCTGCTCTCCATCCTTTCTTCCCCCAGCCTGTATGGATACTGGGGGTTACCCCGACCCAGGTGCAGGACCTTGCACTTGGCCTTGTTGACCCTCATGAGGTTCACACAGGCCCACCTCTCCAGCTTGTCCAGGTCTCTTTGGATGCCACCCCATCCTTCTGGTGTGTCAACCGCACCACTCAGTTTGGCGTCATCCGCAAACTTGCTGACGGTAAACTCGATCTTGCTGTCTATGTCATTGATGAATATATTCAACAGCACCGGTCCTAGTACGGACCCCTGAGGGACACCACTTGTCACCGGTCTCCATCAGGACATTGAGCTGTTATTGCAGGCAATCCACCCCCTTCATCCTCCTTGCAGTTCAGTCGTTTAGTTTTGAGAATTGTAGCTCGTCTTTGCCGCTGCCCAGAGATATAGACAGCTTTAAGAAAACTTCTGTAATTTGCATTACCCTTGGGATATATACTAAAATGACAAAAGAATATGAGTGAAATTGAAAGTGAAATTTAAACATGAAAGAAATCCAAGCACTATATGTTAAAGTGTCTATGCAAATTTTACTCCATGCTTTTAACGATGCCAGGCAGCACTAGTACAGTTACAGCCACCTATGGCTATGCTACTGGCTTAAACAGGAATTTTAAACCGATTTTCTTCCTTTTATTCTGTTTCTCCATGATGAAGGAGAATCTGAAGTGTGATACTGGGCACTTTTTTTGGTATCAGTGTGTATTTTTTGTATATTTAGTTTTCTGTTAATTGTAACTTTAGTTCTGAAAAGAAGATGGTAAGGAGAGCTTCTAGGGGGTTGCAGCATTACTTTAGGTTTTTTTCGCTTGCTAAAAAAATTAAATGTACCTTAATAATTTTGACATAGACGTAAATGGAATGTCAGATGTAGCAATGTGATACTTCTAATATTGTGAATATGGAGAATACAGCTAGAAATGCTGATGACTTATCTCTCTGTCTTTTAAAGGTCTCTATCTATTTAGCACTTTAAGCTGCTGTTAATGATCCGACACAATATTTTCCTTAGAAATGTCTGGTAACCAGTAGGTTGGGAGCACCAACCAATACTTGGCACCTCATTTGCCATTGCACTTTGGAAATGAAAGGAATATTATGAACCCATTAGCATGGGATTGTTTTTCTGGAGGAATATACTTGGCCAACAAGAGACACAACTTGGGGAGGTTACTTGGGTCATAGATCAACATGCAGATTTCTCTTGGACATAATTACCTCATTCTCCCTGGTGGAAGATTCAACTTACTCGCCAGCACTTTGGCCATATCCCTCTTTTCCTCACTACTGAGGAAAGGTGTAGTAATGGTAGATGCCAGGCATGGAAGGGTGGGGTGGTGGAAATTAAAAATGCTGGCTTAGCCGAGAACTACACTAAACTTACTTTAAGAAAGGAAATGTGCTGAATTTGATTTCGTTTAACGAATGATGATAACTATATAATTATTTCTTTTTTTTTTTTTTTAAAGAATTTCTTTGCATGTTACCTATCCGAATAACTCATGTGAATTTAGAAGCTCTCTTCACGGTCGGCATTTTTACTAAGCTTCGTTCTGATTTCAGGACAGTGGATCAAAACCAGAGTGATAAAGGATTGTTCATGTAACATGAAATTTTTGCTAAGAAGGCTGTAATTATAGTGCTTTTTATTATAAGAATTCTTTCAACCTGCTTAATACTGAACAGCATGAGTTTCCTTGCCCTTGACATGGCAGTAATTGCCTTGCAATTGTGTTGATGAAGGGAGCGCAGATTTATTACAAAATCTCACTCTATAATTATATTTGAAGAAAAATACTCTTCGGCTGGTTTGAAGTTTTGTAGGGCTACGAGTGCTTCAGATTCTTTTCATTGGTTATACTGTGCTTACGTTTTGCATTCAAATGACTTACAGGTTTTTGTCCCGTGCACCTTGAATCTCGCAGACTAGAAGACTGAAAACTAAACTTTCTTCATTTTTCTGTCTTAAGGAAATGTGTTGTTGTTAATTTTTAATTTCAGCATTAATTAAAAAAAAAGGAAATAAGAATTTTGGGGTCTTTTTTAAAGGTGAGATTATTTCTTACTGTTATGCTGTATGATTCAAGACTTTGGCCTATTAACTGAATGATTTGCTGAGATTCTCAGTCTCTGCTGTAAAATCTCAAGATACACTCAAAAAACCGAAGTGCTAAGCAGGCGTGTGGGGATGAATCAAGCACTGGAAGGGGCTGCCCAGGGAAGGGGTCGAGTCCCCACCCCGGGGGGATTTAACAGCCGGGCAGCCGAGGTGCTGAGGGCCAGGGTTTGGGGGTGGGATGGCAGGGGTAGGGGAACGGTTGGGCTGGGGGATCTGAAATACAACCTAAATGGTTGTATTAATTTAATCCAATGTGATTGGGAGGGGCTGCTTCTTATCACCTGGAAATGTATCAGGAGCCCAGATGTGATCAAGGTAGAGGCCCAGTGACACTGAAGTTGTCATGGGTCACCACAGCCATTGGTGGGGGGCACATTTTATCCTTTTTCCCCAATCATGCTGAGTCTGCAGCATCTCTGCTTCAGCTTTGGTACTTTTCTTCCCCCCCCCCCCCCAGTGTAATACAGTCTCATGAGTGCTGGCAAGGAAATATGGATTTATGGACTTGCTGGAGGAGACTTTAATCCTCCCCTGCTGCCCATTCTCCCTTCCAGTCTTCCGTTAATCGGTATTTGAGCACGTAGCTGGTCAACTTTGGTTCACCAACGCTGCTGTAATTAGGAACAGGAATTTCAAATGCAGGAGTTTAGTATTCAAATTAATTTTTTTAGTGCTGTAAGGATTAAGTATGACAATGACTCTGCCCTTCAGGCTCAACCATCAAAGTTTAAACATTCTGATAATGAGAGTTTTAACGAGCAGCCTACAGGTTGCAGCCTTAATACTGGAGCTGTACATGCACCGTATGTATGCACCTACATATAGGGAAGGGTATTCTAAAATGCATTCTTCCTGTAGTGGGTAGGTGAAACACTAGCACGGGTTGCCCAGAGAGGTGGTGGAGGCCCCATCCCTGGGAACATTCCAGGCCAGGTTGGACGGGGCTGTGAGCAACCTGATGTGGTTCAAGGTGTCCCTGCTCCTGCAGGGGGGTTGGGCTGGGTGACCTCTGGGGGTCCCTTCCCACCCAAACCATTCTATGATTCTATAGTGAGTGAGCAAAGACCTGAGAGTTGGTGTGGAATGATGGGGTATTCACATTTTTGTACCTAATACATTTTTTGCAGGTCTAAACCGACTGAAGTTTTGGTGCTTTGTTACATGTGTATTTTCGAGGCAGTTGTAAGGCAACAAAAACTTGTTTACCCAAGAGGAATCAATCAGTCTGGGTTTCTGACAGTATCGATAGTGATATGTCACTTCAAGCTTTTCTTTCTTTGTCACTAGATTTTTAACTTCAAATGATTGTAACCAGTTTGTACTTCCATACCTTTACATCCGATACGCAATCCCTTAAAAAGGAATTTCAGAGCAAAGTACTTCCAACTGGAGTGCTTTTTCAAGTTGTTTTGTCTTCTTTAGGAATCCAAAAATATGAGGCTGAGTTGAACAATGCCTTAGAATTTAAATTGCTGTTCATCCTGTCTTTTTTTCCAAGAAGTTTGATTTGCTATTATGTTGTCTACCCACAGTAATGAGCAATGATGATGGTTTCTATAGGCCTCTCAATCTGGAGGTTCTAGCATGAGAAGTATGAGGGTTTTTTTTACTAAGTTTTGCCTAAAATTTAGGTTTTGTTAAAAACAGGATACATGACAAAAATGCTGCATGCTGGACCAATTTGGTTTTATTAAAAAGGCAACGTACAAGCTCCTTTTCCTCTCTTAATATGTTAGCGTTGTCAGGTTTGCTACATGAACCCTTCAGCTGGTATCTGCTCTGTTTTTATAGAATTTATAGAATAGATTCCCCTTATAGAATCATAAATCATAGAATGCTTTGGGTTGGAAGGGACCTTTAGAGGTCATCTACTCCAACCCCCCTGCAGTGAGCAGGACTCCCCTTCAAAGATAGGCTTTTATTTCACTTCTCCTAATTTCCTTTTCATATATTCCTATGACTTAATTTTCTTGAATTTCCAGCAGTCTTTCAATTCCCACCTCTCCGTGCCCACTGCTGGGTTGCTCCTGACATACTCATTCTGAGAAATGGAGTCTCCAGACCTGTCATCTCATTGTACAGGGGTGGCTTGTTTTTCCCTCTTCTCTCTACCTGTGCGTCAGAGGCTATCTTTTCCCCTATAAGAGCTTTGTTCGTTAATATGTGAACAATTACAATTATTTTTTTTTTTACCTTTTCTCTCTAGCTGGCCTGTGGACAGTCTTCACGCTAGGTGGGGTGGGGAGCAAACCAACGCCGCAGCTGGAGCAGTGCTCCCCTCTAGCTAACCAGAGTCTGCTGCTTCTGCTGGTCTTGGCTAATCTGACCGATGCTCCAGATACACCAAATCCCTACAGGCAAGCGATTATGTCCTTCAAGAACACACAAGGTTTGTATCTGTTCTTACTTCTAAGCATGAACTGATGAAAACGAAGTGTTAAATTGCTGTGACTAGAGGTTCTTGTTTCAAAATTTCTTTTCCTTCCAGCCAGCCTGTGAAGGAGCAGTAACAGTGTATTTTGTTCTGGGAATTTGGAGATGGAGTTCCTCAGCTGCTGGAACTTCATTGAAGGGGCAAGGGGAGAAGGATACTCTTTCCTTTAGACTTGAGAAATGTTAGAAAGCTTCATAATTTTATCAGACATAAATAAAACTGCCCTATAAGTAGGTTGGTTATCCAAGAGTCTGCAGGGGACTCCTAAAACTTTATAGCGTTTGTGGAAATTCTGTTTAGCTGGAGTCATGTTCCTTAGAGCTAAGAGAAGCAATTGAATTGCTAACCGGATTGATTTGCTCGCTGTATTCTTGTATTGCAAACGTGAGGAGAGGCTGGTTAATGGAAACACTTCCGTGAGACGAAAGTATCAGAGTTGTTTCAGTGCTTGCCTGGTTTTTGGGAAGGCTGGTTCCAGTCTGTCCGTCAGGGAGCTGCAGGAGCAATGCTGTACTAACTCAGCGCCCTGCCGCAGTAACGCCCTAACGCAGCTTGGACTGTCTGGACAGCTCAGCTTGCAGGCAGCGCGCTTCTTTTCATAGAATCATAGAATCACTTTGGTTGGAAAAGACCTTTGAGATCATCGAGTCCAACCTGAAACCGAACCCTGCCATCCCACCACTAAACCATGTCCCTAAGACATACGTACTTCATCCGTACACTTAAATCTCTTTGGGTTTTAGCCATGGGGTTTATACCTTCCGTTGGATTTATGAAGGTTGATGGCATGCACGGGGCTACTCGGGTACTGCATGATAACCGGTGAAGCCACATCAATACCTCTGAGTTATTCGCTTTATTTAGGGGGAGTTTTTATATCCCTTTAACCATTAAGTTTTTAGGAGGTTGAGGTCTAAATTCACTCACCTTTACCTAGGAGATTTTTTGGGGGTTTGTTCTCATAAGAAGAATTCTTAGTCCTGACATGCCCCTTTGATGTCTTTTGGATGCTCTTTACAGCCGATTGAGATCAAATTCTTGATACAGTTTTAGTTTTTTTCTGGTTTTTAAACTGCGAACTTCTATTAAAGCTTTATTTTGGTTGTCTTTGTTTCATGTCATCAGTAACTAGTAATTATTTCAGTGAAAACTATTACACATGTATCATTATAAAATTTTAAAATAACTTATTCAATGTCAAAAATAGCATGAAAAGCCGTATTTTCTCTAGACGTGTACATTTATAGAATGACTTATGGTTTCCCATAACCTTATTTCCACTAGCAATACTCATATAACTGAGCTTAAATTTGATTCCTGTGAACATTCTGAGGGGCTGGTAAGAGGAGAATGATATGAAAAAGAAAGGCTGGTTAGTGTCATAATGATCTATAGTATGTGACTATAAAATAAAAACTGGCTTTTTTGTTGGAAGTAATTTATGTCATTTAGTTGGCACAAAACCAATCAAATTCAGGATAGTTTTCTTTATTCCACGTGGCCTAGAATAGTTTAATTTTTCTGTTGGTCAGTTTAACGTTCTCTAGAATAATACAGGATATGCTGCGGTTGCTGCTAAGTTTCTTTAATACTGTTTAGATTTTTTTTTTCCAGTTTTTTAAATATCCTTTAATAAAACCAATAGTGGAGTGCTGCGAATAGAAGTGGCACAGTTTAAACATCCACAGAAGTGAATCTTGAATGTCAGTGGATGCTCCTCAGCTAAAGGAACTGTGGCATCAGGTTGCTGCTTAATAGAGCACGTTGAATTGATCCTGATTTCACTGGCTGCATCCAAATTTTCCCTCGTAAAGAGAAATACTTGCCTGAAGCAGGATGGTTTGAAACCAATCGGTCCATAGTGATGCTCAGTGTTAGAAGGGGGCGTGAGGACGGGAACAGTAGTTCAGAAAAGCCAGGCTTTGGTCTCTCCTCTGCCTGCTGGTACAGCGTTTTGGGGAGAAAGCAGGATTTCCATCGCCGATGGGCTGTGTCTCGCCTCTGTGTGTGCGGCCGTGCCTCCCCCCCCAGGCCAGGGGAAGCAGCGGCTCCCCGGCACGCCGTCTCCGCCAGACCCCAGAAACCCGGTGGGAGCCAGGGCTCCTGTGGGGCCTCCTGCAGGACTTCCAAGTACTTTTTCCTTCCAAAGTGGGTGGAGATGTTGTTCAAAATAAGTGACGACTGCCACATTCTTCCATACTGAAAGCTATTTAGAAACTTTGCTAAGAATACAGGCTAAAAAGAAAGGGGAAAGCGAGACACCCACATCTCAGCGGGTATAAGGAGTGTTTGTGTGATCAGTCCCTACCAGTAGAGAGATTTCTTCAGAAGAGTAGAAAAGTTTGGTAGGAAACCACGGGACTACTCATTTAAGAGCCAAATTTGTGTTGGCTGATTGTTGCTGCCCATGGGCACACGTGTGGTGACGCTGTTCTCACCGTTTCCCATGGTGATGCAGTCTGTAATATCTGAGAAATCTTCCGGGATTTGAGGAAGAAGGAAGATTTGGATGAAGTGCAATAGCTGCTGCCTAGCATGCTGGCTATCGTCGTACCACTCGCTTGTAAAACGATGTGTAAAAAAGCAGGGTTTGAAATTTGCATTAGGTTTTGTTTTTTTTTCCTTTATCCTTCTGAGTCTTTCTCTCCTTAAAAATCCCTTCTGTCCACAAATCACTGGGCAGGAGTAGTGGTATTGCCACGCTATTTTGTACAGCGGAGCTTTCCGAAGTTAGTGCATTTTTACTAAATGATAAACAATTCTGTAGTCTGTTACTGTGGGGAAAAAAGGAATTTTAGTTAAATTCTTCAACTTTGGACATCTTGTTTATAGTAATACAGAAATTTTGAAGTCCAGACCTTTAGTATACTTGAGTATCCAAACTGCTATTGTTCCCAGAATATCCTCTTGCCATGAAATTGCTGTAATTTTTCCATATGCATAGCTTGTTTGTGTGCTCAGAAAAGATAGCCTTTGTATTCAGTTGCCAGGATGCTGAAATAAATCAGCTCAAAAAGGCAGACTCGTCCTACGTCGTGTGTCATCACAGAAGATGCATGCTTTGAATGGATGTTTTTGAACAGAGCTGGACAGGAAAAGACTTCATACAAATTTCTGTGAAGCTTTGGGGAGTTGGGAAATGTACCTGCTCGGCACTGGAACAAAACCTTCCACTCTCAAAGGTTCCTTCTAAAGAAAAGCAAAGGCAAAATCTCTGACTTGGGGAGGTCTGGAGGCTGAGTGAGGACGTGGATCTGGCTTTCTGACACGAGTGCATTGACTGTCACATTTGCTTTTTCCATTTCTGCTGGAAATTCCTAGACGTTAAGAGATCCGTGCTGATGGACGTCTGTGTTGAAACTGGGGTAAAGCTGCTTGTGAAAAGGTTCTGCGAACAGAAATCTGTTTTATTCTCACTTCCAGCTCTGGCACAGATTATCCTGTGAACGCGAACAAACTGCTGTTAGTTTGAGGGATGTTAGTCTATGTGCCGTGGTGTTTTAAATCACTTTAACCCACTAAACTCCCCACCACACAGGCATCTATGCCGTGGTGTTTTAAATCACTTTAATTAACCCACTAAACTCCCCACCACACAGGCATCTTTTGAAGTCCTGACAACGCCTGTGTTTCACTGAAAATATACTGATAGTTTGGACCTGTGTGCCCTTCATGCCAACAAACGGATAGGAGATATTCCACCTTGACGCCAATGAACTAACCCTGGAAGTTTGGGGTGCAGGGATTGGAAACACCTGAATTATCAGTATGTCAGTGCCAGAGAAGACACTGCATAGAATCATAGAATCGTTTGGTTGGAAAAGCCCTTCAAGATCACCAAGCCCAACCGTTCCCCTACCCCTGCCATCCCACCCCCAAACCCCGTCCCTCAGCACCTCGGCTGCCTGGCTGTTAAATCCCCCCAGGGGTGGGGACTCGACCCCTTCCCTGGGCAGCCCCTCCCAGTGCCTGACAGCCCCAAGGGGAAGGAATTGTTCCCCATGCCCAACCTCACCCTGCCCTGGCACAACTTGAGGCCAGTGCCCCTCGTCCCATCGCCCCTTCCCTGGGAGCAGAGCCCGACCCCCCCGGCTCCCCCCTCCTCTCAGGCAGTTGTAGGGAGCGATGAGG